AAAACACTAATTTTCCTTGTAGCTGTTGCCTCGGTGCTGACTTCAGCCCTTAAAAATTCAGGGATGATGTAATTTTCCAGCTCCCAGTTCTTGGGAGAAAGCACCGCCTCGGAGGAACTTCAGAGCTCGTGCCACGCGTACACAGAGCCTGCAATACGATATGAAAATAGATGCCAAAAAAAAAACCACAACCAAAAACCAGGGGAAAGACTCAGTTTGCTCATTTTTAAAAGACTCACAGAATTGTCTTCGGAGCCTTTCGGATTTTTTAACTGCCGACAGGTTTTATTGTCGTGGAGAAAACCAAAGGGCACCGACGAAGCCCGTCGGTGGTCCTCCCCGCAGTTTAAACCTGAGTCTTTAAATGTGGTGCTTGATATCGAGAAATTTGTAGAGCACAAAAAAAAATTATATTTTTTTGGGGCAGGTGAAAACGATTCACAATGAGATTTTAATTGCAGTTATAAAGCAGTGTTTGCACCCCAGGCCTGAGGATCCTGATGTGCCCTGGAGGTGCTTCCAGGGAAAATCTGCCATGGAAGTGGTGGCGAAATGGGTAAGTCAACCTTCCAGTCTCTTTCTATGCAGAGTACCTCAAGGAGAAGCTGGACAAATACATGTCGCGGTTCCCAAAAGTGAAGATCCTCCACCTGAAGGAGAGGCACGGTCTCATACGGGCCAGGCTGGCAGGAGCACAGATGGCCAAAGGTAGGACAAAAGTTTTTTTTATGGCCCTGTCTGGACCCCCTAGAGGTGCCAATAAGCTGTAACCAGCCTGAGTTTCAGTCCCCTCGCAATGAATGACATGGAGGTGTCCCTGCCCGTGGTAGGGGGGTTGGAACTGGGTGGTCTTTTGAGTCCCTTCCAACCCAAACCGTTCTGAGGAGGAGGAGCAGGACCAGGCACCCAAGGCCCGATGCTGCCCCGTCCTGTGCTGCAGGCGCCGTCCTGACGTTCCTGGACTCGCACGTGGAGTGCAACGTGGGGTGGCTGGAGCCACTGGGAGGGGGGGGGGGCGGGAGCCACTGCTGGAGAGGGTCCACCTGAGCCACACCAAGGTTGCCTGCCCCGTCATCGAGGTCATCAGCGACAAGGACATGAGGTGAGGCACAGAGATGATGGAGAGATGGAACGTCTCCCTGATGAGGAAAGGCTGAAGGAGCTGGGTCTCTGCAGCTTGGAGAAGAGGAGGCTGAGGGGTGACCTCATCAATGTTTATAAATACGTCAAGGGGGAGTGTCAGGAGAACGGAGCCAGGCTCTTTTCAGTGACGTCCAGTGACAGGACAAGGGGCAATGGGTACAAGCTGGAACATAGGAGGGTCCACAAAAATATCAGGAAAAACTTTTTCCCTGTGAGGGTGACAGAGCCCTGGCCCAGGCTGCCCAGGGAGGGTGTGGAGTCTCCTGCTCTGGAGACTTTCAAACCTGCCTGGATGCGTTTCTGTGTGACCTACTGTAGGTGATCCTGCTCTGGCAGTGGGGCTGGACTAGATGATCTCTAGAGGTCCCTTCCAACCCCCAGCTTCCTGTGATTCTGTGGGAGGCAGATCACGTCCCTGGGAGACCCAAATCCCTCTCACTGGGACCACCAGCATATTAATTGCAGGAAGGCAGAGGTCCAGAGCTCCTAACACCTTTGGCAGCGTTTCACGAGGGATGTGCAGCATTGCTGTACACCAATAATTGACATCAGTGGTGGATGGGACCCCTTCATTTGTCCCAAACACCTTTCCCCTTTTTTGTGACTTTTAGTACAGGAAGAGGATTCCTGATGAAATTTGTTAAAATCCTGTTTTAATTATGTACAGGTATTCATCTTCACTCATTAAAGGTGACATTTCAATCAGGAACATGACTCGGAATTAGTCATCCCCATCTTTTCCCCGTGTAGTTACATGACCGTGGACAACTTTCAGCGCGGGATTTTTACTTGGCCAATGAATTTCGGATGGAGGCAGATTCCTCAAGAGGTCATTGAGAAAAATAAAATCAAGGAAACTGATATAATAAGGTAAAAAAAAGCAAAGGTGAGAGCTCTGTAAACCACACTCTTAATAATTTAGGAGCAAAACTCCTTCCGGGCCAAATGTTGTTCCTTCACTTGTAAGGATGACAGAGGCCATGGTCCATCACATCACCGGGCGGAGACAAAGCCCAGCCAGCTGGTCTCACCCCTCGTGGTACCGCCAGTGCCAGGGGGACATGCTATTGCACATTTCCTTTCCTTGCCCTGTTACAGCTCTCACGCTGGGTAAAACTGCCCAAATACCATCTTATTTTAACGCTGCCTCTGTCAGCCTGCAGCAGAGTGACAGACCAGGTGGTCCTTGCTGTCCTGCTGTAAGTGTGGGTTCAGGCACCATCCCCAAGCATTTAGGGTCCCGCAGCTTCTCAGCGATGCCCTCATCAAAACAAGGGAAAGGGACGGACACTTCCCCAACAGCTGACATCCCGTGCGGCCTTCCCATTCCCAGGTGTCCAGTCATGGCAGGCGGCCTGTTTTCCATTGATAAGAAGTATTTTTTCAAGCTGGGAGCGTACGACCCGGGACTGGATGTTTGGGGAGGTGAAAATATGGAGATTTCATTCAAGGTACATTGCTCTCAGCAGCCTGTCCCACATCCCTGCAATTTCCTTACTTCTCTGCTTCTCTTCTGGCTTTCACCCGACGTTTGCCCATGTTTCTCTCAAAGCAACCTCTCTTTCTCAGGTCTGGATGTGTGGGGGAGAGATTGAGATTGTCCCATGCTCCAGAGTTGGGCACATTTTCAGGAACGACAACCCGTACTCCTTCCCGAAAGATCGGGTGAGAACGGTGGAGAGGAACCTGGCCCGTGTCGCGGAGGTCTGGCTGGACGAATACAAGGAGTTATTCTACGGCCACGCTTACCACTTGGTTTTGAAAAACCTGGATGTCGGCAACCTGACTCAACAAATCCAACTGCGGAAGAAGCTTCAGTGCAAAAGTTTCCGGTGGTACCTGGAGAACGTGTACCCAGACCTGGAGGCTCCCCTGGTTAAAGCCAGTGGGCTGGTACGTACCCAGGTGACTCGCTGTCCTTCCTTCACACGTGTTTTCAGTGGCCGGTTAGAGCCTTGGCAGCATCCTGGTCCACTGTCTCTGAGGTGCTTCCCTGACATCTGGTAACATCTCTGAATATTCAATATGTCACAGTGGTCAGGATTCCCCAGTGGTTTTATAAATCGGTCACAATCCCAAGAGCCAGTTTCCCACCAAAGAGCAAGATGAGCTGCCCTGGTGACAGTAACGGCCAGGGCACAGGTGGGAGGTGCAGCGGCCTCCCCGCTGGCACGGATTTTGGCCACGGCAGGAGACAGAAATCCCTTTAGGGGTGGATGAGCGGTGCCTGGGTGGCACGGGCAGGAGGTGCAGGGAAGGGATCAGGAGGTGTGGGCAGGAGGTGCAGGGGGGCAGAAGGTACAGACAGGAGATGCAGGAGGGTAGGAGGTGTGGGCAGGAGGGCAGGATGTGCAGGCAAGAGGTGCAGGCAGGGGATGCAGGAGGTGCAAGAAGGAAGTGCAGAAGGTGCAGACAGGAGGGCAGGAGAGCAGGAAGTGCAGGAAGGTAGGAGGTGCAGGAGGGTAGGAGGTGCAGGAGGGTAGGAGGTGCAGGCAGGAGGTGCAGAAAGGTAGGAGGTGAGCGCAGGAGGTGCAGGAAGGCGGGCAGGAGATGCAGGAGATGTAGGAGATGCGGGCAGGAGAGGCGCAGGCAGGGTGTGTTGCGAGCGCTGCTGCCAGCAGAGCGCAGCAGAATCCCGCTGTTGGGAGTCTGAGCACCCCTGCAGCCCCTCAGGTTCCGTTTTTCTTCAGCCCTTGCCTCCGGAGGGCTCGGTGGGCAGCAGCAAACACCTTGAAACCCGTTTTGGATGAAGTTCTCTGTCCTGACCCCCAAGTCACACCAGGGAACTCGTGAGGCTCCCTGGCACCGGGTCCTACTCACGCAGCTGCTCCAGGTGTGCTCCATGTCGCGTCACCGACATTAAAAGGTGGATTAAACCAGAATAAAGAGTGAGTTCTGAATTGGGCCCATGCCCTGAGCCTCAACAGAATTATCAGCTGCTGCTTTGAACATTCAGAACCCTCAAATATTGATTGTGATCTAGCTATAGTTGCAACAACCAAATTAAAGTAGGGATAAAGCCAGGCTCTCTGCCAGCCGCAGCCGGCACATTACTTTTGTGATGGAGCCATGAAGGAGGGCAGTGCAAAGCATTTGCCCCACATAGAGAGAATTCTGTTTCAACTGAACCCAAACCTCAACTTTTTGGAGGTGTCTTTGAACATTTTCAAGATGTTGCCTTGCTTTGTCCAGATTCAGGCCACCTGAATCAATCTTTTTATCTTCATTCTCAAAATTTAATAGGGCAGAAAATCTGTTTTTCAGCTAACTCGGCAAATTCCAGCTGTGCTGAACACTATCCAGAGTTACTTGAGAACTGTTTTCTGAATGGCCTAGTTATTCACCGAGATTAATTCAGAAGTTTTTCAGAAGTTTTGGAAGATGGAGAAGGACTGTGATTAATTCATAAATTCTTTGAAATTAGTTATTTTATTGAGAGTGACGGAACAGATTGGAGAGTGCTGTTGATATTTTTATTTTTAAGGTTAATGTTGCTAGCAGCAGTTATCTTAGTACAACAACCAGGGGGTAACATTCAGCAGAGGGTGAAAGCTTTGGTGCTTAGCCAGAGAGATGTCCCTGCCTGGGGTGGAGGGAGAGGACACAGCCCCTCGACTGGTCTGTCCGATGATGAGGTTCTTCTCTCCCACTTTAACAATCATTTCCTCTGTCTTTTTATCCCCAAAGTTATGAGGCTTCTCTCCCCGCCGGGTGACGTGCAGTGTGATTTGAGTGCTGTGGTCATTATAATCTTCTTTAGCATGTGCAGGGTGTCAACTTTAATATGCATTTCACAGGTAGTGAGGCAAAGGTTAGTCATCAGGTATGGCAGCCTTTTCTGTAGAAACAAAGAACTGCACCAGTCCCTGTTATCTTGGTTTTGCTGACCAAAAGCAGGGCTGTCCTGCCCGCAGCAGGGCAGGAGCTGTTGTGTTGGGGGTTTGTGGAATGGAAACAAGAGCTGTGTCCAAAAAAAAAAGAATGTGTCTTGTCCAGCCTTGAACATTTCTGCTGAATGGGATTAGTTTCACGCCTCTCTCGGGAGAAAAACAGACCAGATGTGCATTTACACACCCCTCTAAGGACTGTGACACATCACCTCTGCTTAAGTTGAGTGGACGGTATCCATCAGTGTCCTGTGAGTGTGGCGGCCTAACTGCAGTGTAACAGCCCCTCCTGTCTCAGGAACTTACCTCCAAATTTGCATTTTGGTGCTATTTTCTAGCTTGTTAACGCTGCCACGGCAAGGTGCATCACCGTGGAGAACACCACTGTAGCTTTGGCGGCGTGTGACGTTAACGACAAGGTAAGGATACCCTGCAGAGTAGTGTTTGTGGGGCATGGCACAGAGCTCCTGTGCCCCCTGTGCTGACCTGGGCTCTGTGTGCTGCTCCTGCTGCAAAACGTGCAGTTGTGCTCTGTCACTAGATGGGAAGCAGCTGCTGTGGACAACCTTGCCTGTCCTTTACGGACAACCTTTCCTGTCCTTTACAGGCAGCGTTTCTCAGGCACTTCCCTGCTAACTGCTGCCCACTGGCACAGCCTGGAGTGCAGGTGGGAGCCCTGCTGCATGCAGGGGTTTATCCGTTTGGATCCCGGTTTACCCGGGGTGCAGCCAGGGCAGGTGGCAGGGCACAGTGTTTGGTTTCATGTCTGGGCTGCTGCAGTGGGAGTCACTCCCAGAGCCTGCGCTGGGGCTGTCCTTGGACTTTTTAGCTCTGCAGATCCATAGGAAGAGGTTTCCCCATGGATTTTTTTCTCATCCCCAGTCCCAGGCGGGGCTGGGAGGAGGATGAGGAGAGCCTCTTCCTGCTACTTACCAGCCCTGCTGATGAGAGGGGAGCGGGCATCACAGCTCTTGCAGAGCCACAGAACCACTGGGGGTTGGAAGGGACCTCTAGAGATCCCCCAGTGCCACCCCCTGCCAGAGCAGGGTCACCCAGGGCAGCCACACAGGAACGCGTCCAGACGGGTTTGAAAGTCTCCAGAGCAGGAGACTCCACACCCTCTCTGGGCAGCCTGGGCCGGGGCTCCAGCACCCGCACAGCGAAAAAGTTTCTCCTCGTGTTTTTTGTGGAACCTCCTGTGCTCCAGCTTGTGCCCGTTGCCTCTTATCCTGTCAGTGGGAACTACTGAAAAGAATCCGGCTCCGTCCTCCCTGCACCCACCCTTTAGATATTTATAGACATCGGTAAGGTCTCCTCTCAGCCTTCTCCAGGCTGAGGAGTCCCACCTCGCCCAAGCTTTCCTGCTAAGGGAGATGCTCCAGTCCCCCGATCACCTTCATTGCCCTCCTCTGGCCTCTCTCCAGCAGTTCCCCACCTCTCTTGAGCCGAGGTGCCCAGAACTCTTTCCTGGTCTCTCCCCACAGCACCAAAGGTTCAACTACACCTGGCTGAGACTCATCCGGCACGGAGAGCTCTGCCTCGCTCCGGCTGGTGCCATGGGAGCGCCGGACCTACGTCGCTGCCAGGGTGGGAGCCACGGCCTGACGTGGCTGCACGGGTCGCTGGCCACCAGCCACCGGGAGCTGGTAAGTGAAGTGCCAGCGAGGGCACCTGGCGTGGGGTGTACCCCCACCCTCTGGTCCCGGCTTTGCCAAAACCATCCCTTCGCCTAAGTTAAGTGTTGGTTGCATGGCACCGACAAACGTCCCAGTTTTACATAGAAACTGTCGATAGCACTTACACAGAGATTGCTGGATATTGACTGGCGCTCAGCTCTCAGCGGTTTTTAAAAGGCGGCGTGATGAACAGCAAAAGAATGAGTATTCATTACTTGCACTGCAAAAAAGCAAGAGCGTTGCGACTGTATCTCTGTCAGCCTGGTGTAAGTAGTTGTCCAAAATGCTGTGGGACAGCATGTTTTGTATTTAAGAAGGAAATACGCTTAATTTAAGGAAAAAAGAATGGAGCTAAGTTATGCACTCATCATACCAACCAGCTCCCATTCCTCTTTAGTCTGAAAAAATGCAAAGTTTTCAAAGCCAGAATGCCACAGTGCCAAGGCTTACAAAGGGCACGGTGTTTTGTGAAAAATACATGAAAATTGTCCTCCACTTAGGAGTCCAGACAGCGTTATCAGTGCACTAGGAATTCTGGAGAGCAGCTCGATGGCTGCTGAATGCCGACTGGGGGAGTTATGATGCTTTACCTTCTTCTGTCATGGTCATTGTGTCATATTAATGGTGTGAAGTGCATTTACTGGATGCACAAAGATCGAACTTTTGCCCCGACAACACTCTGTGTGTGATTCCAGGAGTATTTGTCAAGGCATTAACCAGCTGGTCACAAGAAATGCTGCAGTGCTGGGTGGTGACAGGACAGCACCCCTTGCCGTGGGCAGATTCTGCAGCGTGGCCTTGGTGGCTGCTTGGGTTGGGTAGATAAAGCCAAGCAGATGTGAAAAGCAAAAGGATGGAGATCACTCAGTCTCTTCATTCTTCCATAATTGAATTTACTGCCCCGGTGTTCGATCTTCAGTGCTGAATTGTCTAACGTCCTGCTCAGTGCAGTACATTGAGTTCACCAGCCAAGAAACTCAAAATATGAAGAATCAGTTTCCTGCTCTGTGTTCTCCTACATAGCAAATACCATCTGGAGTGATTTCCTTGGCATGGTAATTACCACTAGGACAGCCAGAGAGCCAGTCTTCCCATTCCCAGCCCAGGGCTGTGGTGTGATCCTGGCTCGGCCATGAGGGCACCTCTTGGATCCCACCCAAAAGTGCCCTTAAGTCAGCAAAGAGATCCTAGGGAAACGCAAAAAGAAAAAAAAAAAGAAAAAGGAATAGCATACAGAGTAAAGCTTGCTGGGTGGAAAAATAGAGCTGCTGCAGTGTGGGTCCCAAAGCCTAAGCCCACCTAAATCCTCTTTCTGTCCCCTGCAGAGGGACCACATCATCTCGGAGCACCTCCAGCAGCCGATGTGCTTGGAAGTGGATCCTTCTCACACAGCCCTGCGGGTAAATGCCTGTGACTCTGCAAATCCTCATCAGAAGTGGCAGTTTGGCAATTACTACGCAGACTGAAGGGAATGCAGTTGAACCAGAAACGCTGTGTTTTTCATCCTGCGAATCCAGCAAGGACATCTGTGCGACTTGGGACAGCAATTGCAAGACTGGAAGTTCAATTCCAGATGATAATTGAAACCTGTAATTTAAACCAGCAGACTGAGGGATCAGAATACCAAGAGCAGCACATCTGGTTTAACGATGTCTGAAACAGATTTTCCCTCGCTGTGGGAGACTTTGGCAGAAACTCAGATAATTTTCTGTATTATTAAATGGAAATATTTTCTGAAGTCCCCCCATCCTACTGTAAGCAAACCTCCATCAGTTCCCCCTGGACAACAGCTTAAGCTGCAGAAATACTTCCAGGGCTCTGTAGTCTGCAAACAGCAAATTGGGCTGCTTATTCTTCCACAGAAAATGGAAGTTTATTGACCAACGCATTAAAAAAAATCCATTCAACAAGCCCGTGCTCAGTCTGGCTGCAGGAGCCTGCCCTGTGGGACCCGTTGCCACTGACAAATGAGTGTCAGGGTTCCATTAGGAATCGATTGCTTATCGAAAAAGCCTTCTTTTAATAATAGGAGGCAAATGTGGATCGATGAGGCGCCCAGCAGACACGGAAAGTGGGAGAACCAGCAAGCACGCCTGAAGACAGTGAGGACACGTGTGCCTGGTTTTGCTGGGACGCGAGAGGAGCTGCTGAGGAGGAGAACCAGGAGCTTGTCCTGCTTCTTGCTGCACCAGAGCCCAGCCGGGGAGCACCTCATCCCAGGGCTGTCCCCACCGTGGGGCCCCAGCCGTGTCCCTGTGCAGCCTTTTGGGGAGCTCCCCCAGGACTGCAGCCGCTTCGCTGAGCTCCCGGGGCTTGGGTCATGCCGGTGCCTGTGCCGGAGCCTGACGGGGCCGGAGCAGCCCCAAGCAGGGGGTCTCGTCCTGCTCGTTGTAGAAGAGTCCGTGAAGACCCTTCTGCTGAGCTGTGAGGTTCAGACTGGACCCCCTTGCTGTCTAAAATTCCTCACAGAGAGGCGGCAAGGGGCGGCTTTGTCCCGGCTGGGCCCCCGACCGGTAAGA